TTTGACCCCAGTACTCTTTCCTGCCATGGCAGGGGGTCAGACTCGATGATCTGCTCAAGTCCCTTCCGACCCTACAAACTATGAAACTATGCTGCCACTCGTCCATTGCTGCAGGACTTTGCAGAAGTTATGGGTATTGGTACCGGTTCTCGTAGCAAGTGCTGGATCAGTGGGGGAAGCCTGCGCATGAGGGTTTTTTTATGTGAGGAGGCCACTGCGCATCAACCACTGCATGGATCTTGGCAGAGGAGAAACCTGTGTCTGGCAGCAAGGACATCCAAGACAACCGGGGTTCCTTTTCCACTGCAGCCCCATCTGCCTGCACAGCCGTGGAGCAGTATGCCTTCTGCATCCGTCTGCCCCACCACTGAGGTCTCTGTGTTGGGTTGGGTTGGACTGCTTTTCATCCAATACCTCACCTTTGACTTGACCGTCATGGGTGTCCCTACTGGGAGTACAAGACTCCCAGTGGTTACGGTAGCCAATTCTGACTGAAGCTCTTCCAGGAGATTTTTCTTCCCCCCCGCCCCACACGTCACATGACGAATCGTCCCATTCAACCCATTCACAGCATCCGATAGTCCAATTCCGGCAGACACCAAGCTGATCCAGGAGGGTGTGCAATCCTACCAACAGTGTTGTTTGTAGGGCCATCGCTGTGCGCAAATCCTCTCCACCCCATCAAGGTGGCGGTGTGTGGGGAGATATTTATGGAAGCGACGAAGGGCGCTCATTGTCACAAGGCGCAGATCCTCCTCGCGCAGCTTTGCCCATGAAGCTATCCTCCCCCCTCTTCCGTAGCAGTTGGCAGCGTCTCCTCGCATCGCCTGATCTGTGAGAAGGCGGGAAGAGTTTGACATGCAAACACATTGTGAGGTGCGAACAAACGCGTTATGACGTGCAAACACGCTGAGGGATGACGACAGGCCCACACGGCCCGTTGGTCACTTGTCATATGGTCACGAGAAGGCGCGAAGGGAGGGACCTCTCTCTTCCCCTCAACCTGATGAGCCAAAGCCCTGGAGGGGCCTCACTTGTCCCCTCCATTTGCAACCCGTCCGAAGCCCTGGAGACCACCTGTGAACAACGAGGGCGTGAGGGGAAGACGACGGCCCAGCAGCGCAGCCAATCACACGACGCCGCTATACGTCATCTAGCCGCGCCGCCGCGCCAAGTGATGACGTATGAGCCCCAGAGGGGGTAAAGCCCTTCGAAGTGGGGCTCCGGCTTGTCTGTGCCGCAGACCGCCCCGCCCACGCGCTTCCGGGTGGAGGGAACTTTCTCCCGTCAGCCCCCGCGCGCGGGGCACCTCTGGCAGCGGCAAGATGGCGGACAAGCCGGGTGAGTGTGGCAAGCTGTGGGCGGGGGAAGGTGACCGGGCAGCCCTCCTCTGCCGGGCAGCTGGTGACTCCCCCCCCGGTCGTCTGTCGTAGTTCCCCTGAAGAACACGCGACTGCTGGACGTGAAGCTGGGGCAGGTGCCGGCCTGGGTGGCAGCGCGGGACTACAGCCTTAGTGGGATGGTGGGGGCCGTGCAGAGAGGTGAGCGTAAAATTTAGTAACGGGTTTTTTTGGCGGGGATGAATGGGTTCCTAAATGCTTTACCTCCCCTTAAGATGTATAAGACTTTGGGTGCCCTAAATTACTGCATGTGCCCGTACCCCCTCTCCCTGGTGCCTGCTAGCAGCTGGGGAGTCCGAAATGCCCGTGTGGCAGGGAAGTGCTGGATCCACCCCACTGGCAGGCAGATCCCAAGCCGTCCCCTTGCTCCATACCCCCCGTGCGTTTAAGATGGATGCTGATTTTTGGAGCTCAGGTTGCCTCCTGATGGTTGTCTTTCATTTGGGAAAAAGTCCGTCTGGGCCTTGCGTTTTTCTCGCAGCTCTTCTCTGAATCTGGTGGTGGCACAAAGTTGCTGCACGTGGCCGCGCTGGTCCCTGGCTGCCAAGGAAATAATTCTTGTCTGTTTAGGTTATGGCAGCTTCTGTAGTAAGTACATCAATGTGAAGAAGGGGGGATTGACTGGTTTTACCATGGTGCTTGCTGGCTACGTTCTCATGAGCTACATGGCAAACTACGACCACCTGAGTGAGTAAAAGCTGATTCTGTATCATTGAGTACAACTGTTCGGGTGCTGCTTGGAGTGAAAAAAAAAAACAAACCCCTGCTTTCTCTTCAGTAATAGTGTAATTAATGGTCTAATTTATGAATCCGGGGTGATGCCACACATGTAATGGGAGTTCATGGGACTGAGAAGTGAGGCTTGGAGATTTTTAACAGTGCCTCTGCTATTTTGTGACATGGACCTAAACCCATTAACCTCCATGGAAAATGGGCATAATACTAGAGTACCTGGCAAGAAAGTTTCAAAGATAAATGAAGCATGTGAACTGCTCAGGTTATCACTGTCTTGATAGTGAGAACAAAGCTTATCTGGCTGCCTCTTACATCTAAGGAGACTCTGCACTGCATAAAATTCTTGACTTCAAAAGGGGGCTCCATCAAACATAGCTACTGACTGATTCTGTTACTCCTTTTACTTTGATGTAGAGCATGAGCGTTGGAGAAAGTATCACTGAAACACAAGCCTGCTGAAGAAAGCCTGGTTGCAGTCCTGGACTCTGACTCAGCTACTAGAACAACTTCCTGAACGAAGGCATTTATGCTGTTTGCACCGAATTCTGCACTGTTATAATTCCAGGCAGACTATGACCAATAAAAAAATGTGGATATATTTAAGTTTTGATTTAACAGACTTTTCTTAATATTGCGTAAATTATAGGTTCTGGTGTTAAGAACACTCTCTAAGAGACTTTTCCCCCTTCACCATGTAGGAAAAACCTTTGTAACCTTCTTATTGCCATTTAACAGTCTTCAACCATGTACTCTCACAAGCCAAGCTCAGATGAGGTTAACCTTCATTTTAACTGGATGAGTTCTAAGGCTGTCTCTGCTTTAATAATCCCTCTACTGCAAGTTAACCAGAACAAATATTGGTGCAGATATTGCTAGTCTGATTTTCAGAGTGTGAGTGAAGTGACAGTTCTACTTGAAGATGTTAATACCTGTCTCTCAAACTCCAAACCAAAGCAGTTTCCCTGTTAGAGGACCAAGCTGGTCCTCCTCTAGTTTAAAACAGTTCAAGACATAAGATCAGTGACTGGGCTGGTCTGCAGACGTATGTTGCTTGTGTTACTGCTACTTAAGGACAAATGTACATCCCCCCCCTCCATTATGAAACTTTTTCTTTAACAAGAAAGAAAAGCAAGTGATTGAATGTGGATGTGACAGATTAATTTGAAGATGGGTGAAATAAACATATGGAGGGGATAGAAGAAATGAGGTTCTCCTCCAAAACCTCCTTGCTGTTCTAATGCAAAATATGCTGATAAGGAACACAGGAAGGGTGGTCATAAAGCATACCTAGGCTATATGCACAGCCTTGGCAAGTGATGGTAACAAGTGGCAGCACAGTCTTTACCGGGGCATCAAGGTTCATGACAGAAATTAGCTCCATAGCTTGAAGAGAAAAGAGCCTATGTGGCAGGGCATCTTTGGTGCCTACCACTTTAAGGGCTTGAGCAGGCTGCAGATCAGCCTGCAGGTGGGACCAGACCCAATCAGGAGTGTCACATAGCACCCAGGAGACGTACCCTGATTGCCTAGCTCTACACAAATCAGGCAAAGACAGGCCCTAAAGCAAAGCCTGGCAGTTGCAGCTGGGGAGCCAAAGGGTGAACATCTCTCATCCCAGCTGGAGTACTGCTGCTCCAGCAGATCTGGTGGCCATCTATAAACTTAGCAGGGGGGACCAGCAGGTAACGAGTGAGTCCATGTTCCCCTGAGCACTACCAGGAGCAACTAGGAATAACAGCTGCAAGTTGACTGAGAGTAGGTTCAGGCTAGACATCAGGAAGCACTACTTCACAGTCAGGGTGGCTAGGATCTGGAACTAACTTTCAAGGGAAGTGGTGCTTGTTTCGACCCTGGGGGGCTTCAAAAGGAGACTAAATAATCACGTAGCCAGGGTCGTTTGACCCCAGCATTCTTTCCTGCCCATGTCAGACTTGATGATCTGCTCAGGTCCCTTCCAACCCTACCAACTATAAAACTGAAATGATTTATGCCTATGTTACAACTATGCATGCACTTACTTGGGGGAGGGGGAGAGAAGACAAATCCTGTAGTCTGCTTCAGACTTGTCGAGATTCAGGCTGCCTCAATCTGTACCTGGTTTATGAAGACAATCTAGGCACTGCAAGGAAAACCAAGCCTTGTTTAAGGGAACAGATAATGGCATAGTTGTAAATTGGTTCTACTAAGAACTCTTAAGATGGGGCCCTGATGAGGACATACAGGTGCTGTTCAGAAGCTGTGGAAAGCTGCATTTGCTGGCTTAAAATAATGTTACATACACATACTAACCAAATACAAGAACAAGGTTCTCTAGCCCCATCCATCCAAATACAGCTGCAGTTAGTTATATGTAGCAGCCGTGTATTGAATACACCAGCAAATTCAGCTGTTTAGACTTCAGGGGACAGCTGTCTTGACATCCATGTCATGAAGAATGCCACTGACCTTCAGTGGTCTGCTTGTAGTTTCAGTCATGGTGTTTCAATGTGAATATCCCTCTGTATACAAAAAGGAGGGGGCTCCATTAACTACAGTTCTCTTTCTTTACAAAATGAATGGACATATTTTAAAAAGTTTTTTTTAATTGGCTCCATAAAAAGTCCTGTGCAGTCATTTAAACGAATACAGAGCTCCTGTCATGGTCACCTGTAGGCACATGTTACCCTGTTTCTGAAAGATGACACACTTGAGTTTCACAGCCAACTTTGAGTACATTTCAGTTAAAAAAAAAGAATGCATAAAGGCAACTAGGCAAATGACAGATGTTTGAGAATTGATAAGGCTCACATTCTAGATGCATTATTTTTAATTCACATTTTGTTGTTGACCCTTTAAAAATTCTCCCACAAAATCAACAGATTTCTGCTGGCAGGAATATGTTCTACAAAGATGCTCTCTTGCACTTGCACCCAAATTTAAAAGCAACATCCTACAAGAAAATATTGCTCCAGTTCATGTTTTAATCACTTGGGAAGATACTTTGTGCAACATGACTACTAAGTGTGGGGAGGCCAAGTTACAGTGCAAAAAAGCCAGCTACCTTCAGTTGCTGGCTATCTGAACACCATTATATCATTAAAGCTACTTCTGCTTTGACCTTGGACCCCATTTGGCTGAAAGTGGTGAGCACAGACCTGATTTTTTAACAGCCAAAGCTTGTGTGATTTTAGAGGTGTCAATTCATTTACCTCGCAGTTTTCACGTATAAGGACCAACCTCTCATCCTGCAATGATGTGAAGGGAACCACTGCTGGCAGGGGTGCACAAATCTAATGCAAGGTGGGCAAATACATTACATCATGGCACTTAACACATGACATATTAAGTGAGCTAACAGGACACGGTTAAAACTCACTGATCATCTCAGACTGGACACAGAAACACAAGTTGCCTTTGAAGACCTGCAGGACACAATTTTCCTCTCCAAAAGGTGAAGGAGATTCACATGCTAGTTCTTCCATTTGGTCTTCCTCCTTGAACCAGAATCGCTGAAAGGCTGGAAGCTTCCCAGAGGGTAATACCAGAAGGAAAACATTGGAGAGAGAAACACTGGAACAAGATGTGCATTGTGCCGAATGCTGCATTGCTCAGGCTTGCATATCTATTTGTCATTAGATATGATCTTACCAGGCTCAATGAAAGTGGGTGGAGACCGAAATCTATTTAAAAAAAAAAGGGTTAAAACATAAAAAAATTGTGGGCAATTACAAAAGTTGCTTATCGGCAGCCAGCCTCTGACTAGGTCTTTCAACAATGGTGTTAAAAAAAAAACAAACCAATCAATAGTTCAAGGTATAGTGCAAGGCAGAAACCTTTCCTCAGTATAAAGAGTCCCCTTGCACTCTCCTTTAGACTGTCACTGTCCACTGAGAAAGGCTAGATGTCCTTTGGTGCATCTGTTGGCGTAATGTCCTTTCTCACCACACTGGAGGGGGGAAAAAAGGGAAAAGCTTACATTCTATAGGCAGCTTTTACGTAACTGCTCAGAAACTTAATAGGCCACAGTTTTATTTTGAAACTCTGTCATTCATACCAGACAGTATTCAACATAGTGCAATGTGTCCTGTCCCACAAATGATACTGCCCCAGCTGCTTACTGCTCAACCAAATGTCATGACAAGGACCAAAACATGTCTCCATGTTGGGCTGTACATGTAAATCAAGACAGGAGGATTTGATTTCACTGGGAAGCTGCCTTGCTAGGAACTATAAGTCTGGGCTGGGCAGTGCATCTGTGTGTGTATCTTGCCATGCAGCTTGGCAGGAAGGAGGTGTGCTATGACAGAAGACTCTTTACTCTTTCTGCAACAGCACTGTGTATATTCAGTTTCCACCCATTGTGAGGCTCTGTCACATAGCAGCATGGCACTATTATTCAAAGGAGGGCATCTGGACTCCTTTGTTTGCTCTTGAAACTAACCGTGCACATCTATCTGCTGCTGTGGTAGTCTTTTCTGTAATTACCAGGTGGACAAAGCCCATTGGTGCACTACCAGCTGATCACAGCTCATCCACAGGCTAGTAACCTGGTAATCCAGAGGCTCCAAATTTCTTACCAACATCCTTCAACTCAGCTGCAAGCACTGCAGCACATATATTCAATACATTCCTTTACCAGGTCAAAGCTTCTTAGGAGGTTCTGCTGTTCCAACACCTCAACTGTGTGCCTTTACTGTGATCTGCTCCAAGTTAGAGTGATGGGATTCGTGACTAGCAGCATGAAAGATGCACAATTTAGTTGAAGCGAATGACACTTCACGCTTTTCAAACTCAACCCCAGCTTGCAAATTACCTTGTAACAGGTGACCTGCTCCAGCGGCCGGGGACCTCTGTTCCCCGCGTTGTTGTTTTGAGACTGCATGACTCCGATGACTTGTGGGGTCCTCTGCTGGTTGGGAGAAGAGTTCTGACTCGTTAACTGGATCAAGGATGATGACCTTTGTAATGGCGGATTGTTATTTTGCTGGGAGGGAAAAGAACACCCCACAGATTGAATAATAAATTTTCCTAGAAGTGGATTTCGATGGTTATCTGCCAGCTGAAAACTGGAGATGAAAGTGCAGGAATACTAGCCTACATGAGGCCTGATCTAACAGCCATGCTTTCCTCCAAAAACAGCTGCAGAGTTGGGCTCAACTGCCAAAAACAAGCATCGTTAACTCTGTGACAGGAGTCAGATTTTTTTTTTTTTAATCAACCTAATAAATTGTTTAGAACATAAAAACCCCTCCAACATATGAGATGCTATAGTGTATAAAAGGTTGTGTTATGTGACTTGCACCTCACACTGCAACACAAGTGACCTTAGGACTCATGCTCAGAGGAGCAGGGAGAAGGAGAAAACACCTCCAGAATGAAGGTGGCAGCAATCTGCTGAGATAAGTAAAGGAAAAATGGACTTTTCCCCTTTTACAGGTATTTGCATTAGGCTGCAGAGTGAGATCCAAGAAGTCCTGATGTCCCATTTCTATTTTGGTGGGTAAACCATGCATCCTTCTTTGAAAACTATTACATCAGGCTGAGTGGAGAGTGGGGTGTCTGTAGGCAGGGGAAGTGGGGAAAGCTGTACCTTTTGCTGCGTTTGTGTTGGCTGGGGCAGTGGCGGTTGTTCTGTTGTTCCCATAGGCAGTTCAAATCGAGGGCTGGTTTATTCGTACGCAGAGAGAAAAATACAAACAGAGACGTGAGACTGGAATCCAAGACTGGTATTTCTCACCAGTGCAGCACTACCTGAACCAAGCACTCCAGGGGCAACTCTAGAAGCAGCATGTTTAGGTCAGTAGTTATTTAAGTCAGTGGTTTTCAACTTTTTTCATTTTTGGACCCCTAAAAAATGCTGAATGCAGGTGCAGACCCACTGGAAATTAGAAACGGAGGTGTGGACCCCTCTGAATTATAAGTGTGGGTATTCACATACTTTTGATTGATCATAGTCAATCTTTTGCGGATCCCTTAGAGTCTGTGGACCGCCAGGAGTCTGCGGACCACAGGTTGAAAACCACTGATTTAGGTGGGCTATTTGTGGAGAGTGACAATCTGCCTTCTTACATTCAGCTGAGCTTTAAACTGACATGACAGCAGTCCATAAAATGTGCAGCAGAGAAGCACTCTGGGAGAAATATTCATGGAACCTTGTTGTCCTGAAAGCCTTTGGCTCAGTATCACAGTGTTATTAGTAAATATCCACATAACTACAATTCCCTTAATCTGACATTGAGGAAAGATGAATCCAAGTCCATACCAGCTTTAACTGAATGAACTTGCTCTCATTCCCAAAGATTAGAAAAATACTATTAAATAAAAATTTTCAGCAACAGTCATTAAAAAAGAAACAATGTGCCTACAGCCAAAGACTAGATCAGCTATTACCATTAATATGCTTGTATAAAATACCCCGACACACTGATGTTTCTTTTTATACCTCCACAAGGAACATCAATGTGATTTGCCAAACTCTCTTCAGTCATTCTGACTCCAAGCCAATTGCCTTTCTAAGAAGCAAACTCTAGTGTGACAGTACCTCAGCCAATATGCAGTTACTTCATCGTCATGCTAATGAACACAACTGTAGATCAGACAAATCTACTATGCAGCTGATCAAAAAGAAACTTAAGATGACAGAACAAAGTCTGGAATATACTCACTGCATGAATTTGCAAGTGGGACCCTCGGGGCAGAATCCCACCAGGTAATTCACACAAATGACCCGTCGAGTGTGTCGATGTCTGCAGAGGGGACCTGCAACATAAACCTTAAGAGATAATATTTCATATACAGACAACTCAACCCTGTCAATAGCTCGCACTAATAGGAGGGATTATAGGTGGTGGCTCATGCAAAGGCAAAACAGTATATCAAGAGTCTTCCCTCAACTTTGAAAGCCACCCACGCAGCAAGTGTGCGCTATACATACCATGTTTGCAGAAGCCTCTGTCATACCAAGGACAGTCTTTGATTTTAGACTCTGGGTCGATATGCAAGAAAGGACATTCCTTGTTACTGCATTCCCCTGTAGCAAAGCAAGACATGCTCCTTAGGAAGTGGAACAGATGCGAGGAAGAATGCCCTCCCGAAACTACGTAGGTTATCTAATCCAGAATTGGTCTGAATTTTCACCTTGACAAATAAATATTCACCTAGGATTTGTAACATCCTACCAAGCAGTTCACTTAGATGTGCATTTAATAATAAAGTACAAAGAAAAGCCAAAGAATGGAGAAACAAATTAGACAATAACATCTGATCCAAGGACACCTCTGGAACGCTTATGTTTCTTACAGCAAGATGCTTCAATATGTCAATTTAAGTTTATCTAGATACTAAGTAAGAAAGCAGGTGCATCTACATTTCTGTAAGACTATCCCTCTGCTACTCATCACCTCACCAAAAATTAATTCAGAAATTGATCCCCACTCAACTCGGATCAAAAGTCAGCTTGTGTCCAATATCCATGGAAGTCATGGAACAAAGCATTCAAATCTCCAAGACTGAACACGCTCTGAAAGAAAAGTGTTAAAATGGACGAAGAGATAAGTAGCTAAAATACTGCACGGGACTGAACAGATCTGGTAAATTATAATTTAAGAGCAGGTTAATTGTAATTTAAATTACAATTTAATACCAGCAGCAGACACAGAACTAATCTGTTCATAAGACAGACGTGACACAAATGCATACATGTTCCCTCTGACCTCCCAGGTTCCCCATCTCATTCTGGAAAGTCAACCAGAAGCGACAATACCCCCTACCGAATTTGGAGTAAAAATAACACTCGGGCATCTTGGTCATGTCATATTCATGCAGGAACTCGCACTGGTCTCCCTTTTTGCACAGCCCTCGCAGCCAGTGTTTGCAAACAACTGTCTTTTCCCCGCTGATGTGTCGGAAGGGGCACATGCCTCCTGCAGGCAGGGACAAATAGAAAAAAAAAAATCAATTTTTTCACGCCGGGCACGTACACACGAACAAGGCAGCAACAATCTTTTGCTTTCATCTTGGAGGCGCAGAAGACTTTATATTTTTATATTAATTTACCACTGAAGTGCAGGTGAAAGATAATAAACCAAAAGCCCTGGGCGAGAAAATTCTCCTGTATCCGAGGAGCCCAAGCCCCAGATCCTTTGCTTGGTAGCACAGTTCCTAATATAGTCCAAACCAGCCAAATGTTTCATGTGTAATCAGTTCAGTCAATTCATTCACCACCCACATTATAGAATCCCACTGTTACCCTCAGAGATGCAAGTTGCCCCCTCCCCATGCTGCATTCCCTAACCCAGGGGCAGGCAATTATTTTGGGCAGAGGGCTGCTTACTGAGTTTCAGCAAGCCATCGAGGGCCGCATAGAATGGCCTGGCAGGCCACATCCAGCCCTCAGGCCGCATTTTGACCAGCCCTGCCCTAACCTCTTTAGTATGATTTAGGCACTGGAGTTCTCAGCTAGCAGGCACCTTTAAGTCAGAACAGAGCTAGCTTGGGAATGTCACTTGCCTTTTCCGCAGGCAGCTTTTAAAAAAAATTCACAGACGGCAGCCCCTGATTCTGTGGAGGGAAAAAACAAACACACAATGAAAGTTTCTCAAACTTTCCAGCCACTCCCTTCCCCATGGAGATGGGCTGGCTCTCAAAAAAAGCAGAAAACCTATTTTTATTCTGTGTTTCCCAAAACACCCAGAACCCAGAACCATGGTATCCTGATGGTTAAGACTGGTCTTCCCAAGTATTTGAACCCTCCTTTAACAAACCATATGTCAATATACCTTCAGAAGTTTGATGGCGCTGCGGACAGCTATGACTTCTATACCACTCTGGAGACTGAATTTATCAAACCAAAAACACACCCTATGGTCATGAGTGCACTGCACTACCCATTTTCAGTGCAGACTGCCCCAACCCAGACCAGTCACAGCATATAAGGAGGGTACAATACTGGGCATGTTTCCTTCAACAGCAGATTTCATATAAGCCTCTCTTGACTATCCATATAAGTAATCAAAGCCCAGATTTTAAGGCCCAACTACGACTATCCTGCAAGGCCAGAGGCAAGTCTCATAACACCCCCGCCACCCGTCAGTCCTTCTCAAGCAGGGATGCGCACACTGAACCAAGCCTCATAACACCCCTGCAAGGTAATCAAGCTGACTCCCCATCCTTTAATGTCATACCCAGTTGTGTTCCTAGCTTTGTGTATCCAGCAATAATGAGTTAAACACTGCCTTCAGGCACAAGCCAGGCAAAGATTCAAACACTCCAGCGTAAACACATTACACAGAATGGGGCATGTTGGCCCAGTCTCCCCTTGGTGAAGCCGCATCTGGGCCAGGCAACGCTCAGGGCAGGTGGTGGCGGCACTGGGAGGGAGGCTACAAAGGGGCTGTAGCCACCCCAAAATTCACTGTAGCCCCCCACAAACACCCCTGCCAGTGCCACCACCAGCAGCATGGCCCAGCCCCCACCAGGAAGAGCTCAGCACCACCCCGGCTCCAGCCCACAGTAGCAGCCCACCCCGCACAGATACAGGGGGTACATGCCCTCCCAGGGTGTGTGCAGCAGTGTGAGCCCTCCCACTCTAGGATGAACCGCGGCTCCATCCTGCGCCTACCTTGCCCAGCTGGGCAGCGCATCAGGCAAAAAAAGCCAATTTCCAATACAGTCGATTTTCTTTATACTGGTGCCGATCTGATGTCAGACCGATGCATCAGTACACCTCTCAAGGGAAAGCCAAGTCCAGCTGATCCCTAAATACCCCTGGGTCTGTGAAAGCTCAGGCTCTCTCTCTCCATATATATATCTTTAGTCTATTGTAACACGTGTAACAGCAAGTAGAACCAGGAGGCAGGCTGCAGCACTACAATGTCTGTATAAGGGCCACTGAACTTCTTTTGTTGCTTTGGGCACTGGTGCCTCCTCCTGGTTTGATTCTGTGCCCGCTCCAACTCCCCCAGTTCACATGCCTGTACGATGACCCTGAGGTCATCACACTCTTTGTGTCTTTATGTGGCTGCAGCCCAATGTCTCTTAGCAGCTGAGCAAGCTGCACTGAGGCATCCTGCCATCTTTGTAACATATTCAGATAGACCAGTGGTTCCCAATCCATGGTACAGGTACCACCAGTAGTACGCAGACAACCTGTCAGTGGTACATGTTAACAGATTTATTATAGTGACTTTATATGAGAAAAATATTTGCTGGTGGTACTTCAGGCTGTATCATTTTAAATTGGTGATGCGCAACGCGTCACATTTTTGGAACCGCTGACATAAAGTATTAAATTCTTCTGATTGGTTTCCTCGAGCTCAACAAATCTCCGGTCCGCACAACACCACAGCCCGTAGACCACCGGATCAGAGAGAAATCAGGCTGGAGGAGACCGGCCCCGGCCCCTCAGGCATGCACGGGGATGCCAGGAGGCAGAGGAGC